TTCTCTAACCCCTGAAATATTTCCTAGTATTAGGTCATATACTGGATTATCCATGCACACAGCTGAAACATGACCTACAAAATATGGAGTATCTATAACTATAGAAGCTGTGGGAAATCGTCTTACCGTACTATCAATGAGAATGCAGGTTTTGAAATCTCCAGTCATCTGGTTTGGTTCTACATGTTTGGTTTTAACAACTACACCACTGCATCCACTATCACGAAGGACTTGTATCATGTGCTTACCAATTTTACCCTGTGTTACTGGCATACTGCTATCATAATGTTTGCATGCAGCTGTAACTTGATTAAGAACAGTTAATTTATGACCACAATCTAATATGAAAAATCCTTTCTTACTTGCCTGATATAAATGTGGATCTGGTTTTATCATCATGAATGCGCCTATGTCAGGACAATCTTTAGGTTGTAGCTTTACACATTCTTCTGATTTCACATCAGCCTGGATATGTTTATCTATGACGTTATTTACTACCTCAGTTAAGAAAGCAAGAGTTTGTTTCTGTCTACAGTCACGAGCGTAATGTCCCTGTTTATTACAAACATAGCATGTAACCAGTGTACGTTTAACCTCTTTACCTTGTGGCTTACTTCTCTGATATTGGTGTGATGACTTGCTATCGTAACGACTATGTTCTCTTGGAGAGTTATTATAGTAAGTTTTGTTAGGTTTACTTTCCTTACCTTTTAGCTGGCCGGGATACCAACATTTGTGTGCTTCAATTTATTGGTCAGCAAGTTTAGCCATTTCCTGAATAGTTTTGGGTTCCCTTTCTTTTAGAAATATAGAATGTTCAGAACTTCATGAGTTTAAAAACTGTTCTCTTAATATTAAATCCTGCAACTTTTTGAAGTTATCAACTTTCTCTAATTCCATCCATCTTTGGAAATAATTATTAAGTTTAGTAACAAATTTAGAACCTGTATCATCATAAGAAGGTTTAACTTCACGAAATTTCTTACGGAATCCATCAGCAGTAAGGTATTAGGCACGCAACACTGCTTTCTTTACCTTATCATAATCCATAGCATCTTCTGTAGAAAGTGTAGAATATTCAAACAATGCATTACCTTGTAGTAAAGCAGCAAGATTTGTAGCCCAATCAGTTGCTTTATCCCAACCCTGCATTTGAGCATATCGTTCAAATCTATTAAGATCAGCATCTACATCATCTTTATCTTGATTAAAAGGAGGTAATTTTGGAGCTTTACCCTTATGGACGTGAGCATTTCCCACATTCCCTGGCTGTGCTGGGGCGTTGGCCTGAGCCTCTGCTTGAGCTGATTTAAGTTCTTCGATTTTTAGTTGCATTTCTAATTGTTTTTCTAAACTTTTTATTTCTTCTATCCTAAACTGTGCATAAGCTTCTTTCTGTTGAGTATCAATTTCTCTTTGTTTAGCTCTTTCATCTCTTTCCTGATCCCTTTCCATTTTTAATCTAACCCTTTCAGATTCTATGAAATTTTTTAGTTCTGCACTCTTTAGGCCAAGCTTTTCACCAATAACCATAAGCTTCTCTAATTCTAAGTGAGTAGCCATATTGACAAAATTATGAAATACAATAAATTCAAATACAATTTGATGCTAAGCGCAAGCAAGATTTCGTAAAAAAAAGTAATCAAGACCGTGAATTTATACGTTATGGCAAAACAATGAAACAAAATATCAATCACTTGCCCAATAACTGCAATAATCGCGTGGGGATCGAGTTGCCGAACTGGATAGAAACGCATTCAACAAGTATCACTATCTGAACTTTCGTACGTGGAACACGCCTGTAAATTACAATAATAATTATACAATATATCAATATACGAAATCTTATGCGACACCATTCACTCATTAGCCATTCAATTTGTTGCTACTTCTTGTTGGACAGGTAATTTCCCGGACGAGCCCCCATTTAATTGTCACCTACGAAAATTCATATATAATATGAATGTCATAGACGATCAA